TTGGGTCTCGAGCTTAGGGCTTTATGGGGTGAGGGTTTAGGAATTTATTGGTTTAGGGCTTATAGGTTTCTAGGGTGCATAGGGTTAACAGGGTTTAGGGCTTAGGGCTTATAGGGTCCATAGGCTTGAGGGTGCATGGGGTTTGTAGGGTTCATAGGGTTCAGGTGATCGATTTCAGCATTTATCACAATTCATCAGGTTTGGGGGGGAGAATTTTGGGCTTGACATTTTAAGACCTTTGGAAAAGAATACCTTAGGTAGTTTCAAGCGAGGGCCCCAAGCAATTGCCCTAAACCCTAAACTTGAGATTGTGGGATCTAGGGTTTTGAGTATGAGGTTTGGGAGATGGGCTGTTAGATTCAGGGCTTAGGGTTGAGGCTTTAGGGTTTAGGGCTGAGGATTTAGGGTTTAGGGTTTAGGATGTAGGGTTTAGGGCTGAGGATTTAAGGTTTAGGATGATAGGCTTTACTGGGCCCCAAGAGAAGGTAACTGTTGTTTTAGGCCCAGAGGCTCATGATTGCAAATACCATTGGTGTTCAGGTAGGGTGTAGGGCTGCAAGAGCTGAGGGTTGAGGGCGTCAGCCCTTCTGCGATGTTGAAAAGCTTTAAAATGTCCATGGTCTCTCGGCAACACATACCTGCTTCTTGATGCGCTGCAGAACCCTATGCCATAACTGCTCTATCCCAAAAATCCCCATGCTACACGGGAAGCCCTGAATTCTGAACTGGAACATTGCAGTAACTCTAGACCCTAAACCCTAAACCCTAAACCCTAAACCCCTAAACCCTAAACCCTAGACCCTTCATCCAAACTCTAACCACTAAGCCTCAAACCTTGCCGTTTTCAATTACTAAGGTTACGTCGAGGTAGTATTGGGGTAGTTTTGGGGTTATCGTTTTAGGGATTAGGGTCTTTAGGGATTCGGTTTAGGGTTATATAGGGATCATGGAAACGAAAATGGAAACTACTATTTAGGATTCAGGGGCTTTATGGTTTAGGGTTTTTGGTCCCCCCGAAGTAGATGAAAGTATTACCGTTACTGTCACTGTTGCTCTTATGTTGGCTGTTGCCATTCCACTCTACAGCCTAAGACGCAAGACACCCCAGCGTATGGCGCCGAAGTAGTTACCAAGATCTTAATCCTAGAGCCACTATGGCATAACGGAAAATCCCCAACCTTAAGCCCCAAACCCTAAACCCACAATCCCCAAAAACCCTAAACCCTAAATCTCCAACTCTAAACCCTAAATCCCCAACTCTAAACCCTAAATCCCCAACTCTAAACCCTAAATCCCCAACTCTAAACCCTAAATCCCCAACTCTAAACCCTAAATCCCCAAATCTAAACCCTAAATCCCGTACTCTAAACCCTAAATCCCCAACTCTAAACCCTAAATCCCCAACTCTAAACCTCAAAATCCTAACAGTTATACCTCAAACCCTAAACCCAAAGTCCTAAACCCTAAATTACCAATCGTAAACCCTAAATCCCAACAGTTAATACCTCAACCGCCGCCAGGCTGCCTGCAACTTCAATTCCCATCGCTCTTCGGGGCTGAGGAGCCAGGTATGCGCGCCAGCATCATCCAAGATCTGGCGGGGTATACGATTTAAGGACTTAGGGCTTAGGATTTAGGGTTCAGGACTTAGGGTTTAGGATTTCAAGGTTTAGGGTTCAGGACTGAGGGCTTAGGATTTCAAACCCTTCGAAACCGCTAGAATAGGTAAGAATGCAGGCGTTCTTTGAGGAAGGCAGGGCATCACCCCAGACCTGAGAAGGTTTCTCAAAGACAGGGGTACCCCGAGAAACCCTAGGAAGACCCAGAAAGCCAAATATCCCTCAATGGGTTTTCCACGCGGCTGTTAGGATTTAGAAGCCCTAAAACCTAAAGTCCTAAACCATAAACCCTGAGTTTAAAACCCTAAACCCTAAACCCTAAACCCTATTTAGGACCATTTTAGGACCCTAGGAATGCGTAGGAAGTTGTAGGAATTATGCGTGGTATGCGGAGGGGAGCCGAAGCATCATCCAAGACCTGGGTTTAGGGTTTCGGGTATAGGGGGCGTGGGGTGAGGATGTAATCAATAAGACATGGAGCTCTCTCAAAACAGAGGTAACTTTTGCGAACGCTTTGGGTGAAGAAAGACGGCTTTACACAATAGATGCTAGTCCCTATCCAGGATTGTATATGTGCTGAATACCGTATACTGAGAACTGCTGTAGTCAAGTATTTTAAGGTCATATCACTGGATTTTCCTCTCAGAAGTGGCTTTAGGGTGTGGGGCTTAGGGCACATTTTCGGGGTGTAGCTTGTATGCTTTCTTCCTTGAACACAATTCATACAACTTTCAAAGGAATTCATGGGAAAAAACCAAACAACTACAACAACGTGCCATTTCACCAAGAAGCCTGTCTAGAAACCAACCCCAAACCCACTGACCCTGGTTTTTGGCGGTATGCAGAAATTGTACCCGAAACCCTGAACCGTTGATCAGAGACCAAAGTTGGTAGCTTTCAGGCTCCCAAGAGAAGCCGAACAAGGTTATAAAGCCTTCGTACAGTTTAGGGTTTAGGGGTTTAGGGATCCTAAACCCTAAACCCTTTTAGGGGCTTAGGATGCAGGGGTTGAAACCAAAAGTCATGCGTTACCTTGGTATACTAGAATTGTCGAATTCCTAAGTTATAAGAAAAATACGCAGGGCTGCGCAACAGCTTTAATTTCCAAATTAGCTACTCCAAATGACAGCCCTGGACCTCCAGAGCTAATGTCGCTGCCAGCGCAGAACGTGAAATTCGCAGGATGCCTCAGAAAGAAGGGGAGGTGCGTGATAGATTTCTGGACACGAAGAACATCCCTAAACCCTAAACCCTAAACCTTAAATCTTAAACCCTAAACCCCAAATCCTAAACTCTGAAACCCTAAACCCTGAAACCCTAAGTCCCAAACCCTAAACCCTAAATCCTAAATCCTAAACCCTGATCACCCTGAGCCTCTCATAGGTTTAGGGTTATATGGGGTTTCCCAAAATTAGGGCTACCTTCTTGAGGGTCCCCATAAGAAGGATCATAGTATTTTGGGGTGCATATTAGGGTCCCCTTATTTTGGGAAACTACCATATAGGTTTAGGGAAGTTTAGGGATTAAGGTCTAGGGTCTCGGGTTTAACGTCAGTACTTCCAGGCCGTGCAGAATGGAAACGAACAACATGGCAGCTTTGGTGACGTTCGCGGCTAGGAAGTAGCTGAAATACATGATATAAGCCATAATCATATCTCCTAATATCCGCCTTGATAAGCCTATACTAATCCCTCATATAGCCCCCGCCTCTTTAAGGAGTCTAGACCCTAAACCCTGAACCCTATATAATCCTCTTTATAACCCTCCCTTTAAGGAGTCTAGACCCTAAACCCTATACTATATATTCCCCTAATTGACCACCCCTTTAAGGAGTTTAGACTACAGCTCATATGGGTGGTTGTCAAAATTATGGTCCCTTTCCCCCTAAAATTAAAATACGGCAACAACTATTTAGGGTACCCAGGAGGGTGACCATGATTTGGACAACCACTCATATATCTAAACCCTAAACCCTAAACCGATGAGCTTCTGGTTGCGGGGGTCAGGTCCTCAAAAGTTTCCCAGGCATCAACTCGACCCTGAAGCTGTAGAGGGTTTAGGGTTTAGGGGTTTGGGGTATTACACCAATAATGGAGGATCAGATGGAAAAGAGAATCGATAGGGAAATGGAAGCTGGGGGGCGGGATAGTGGAAAAGACAATAGAAACTACTATGTTATAGTACATTATCGTATATTTTCTCCAGCCTTCAACGCTAAACATTCAACTGGGTTCGCTTAGTATCCCACCCATGTTTATGGCTTAGGGCTTATAGGGCCTAAGATTTCCCCCCCTTTTGCCCACTCATGTAGCCTGAATTTTGTTTGAACTATCCCTAAATACCCCCCCAACGAAGGTGGAACCTTGGGTTCGGGGCTCGGAGAACCCTTGAAACCCTAAACCCTGAACTCCAAACTCCATGAAAACTCGTAAGAGCTACAGTCAATATTTCCCCAGATGATAATTTACACGGGTCCTTAACATGGACTATGGTCAGGACTATACTAAACTACAAGAAGGACCCCTATGTCCACTGTTAAGGGTTGCTTAATAAGGCTACTATTGACAATAGCTCATAAGTACACGGGTTGGGGGTTTGGGGTTTAGGATAAGCACGCGGGTTGAGGCTTCGGGGCTTAGGATAAAGCACATGGGTTTAGGGTTTGGGGTCTAGGGCAAGCACGCGGCTTAGGGTTTGGGTGGCTTAGGGCTCAAAACACAACATTCATCCCGGCTATGTGCCACCGTGCTTGCCTGTGTGCGCGGGACATCCTGAATTTCCAGACAGGCGAGAACAGGTGCTACCTGGACCCCAAGTAAACTAATGGCCTTTATGGCTATTACTATGGGTTTAGGGCTATTATTTTACATACTTTTGGGGAGATACTCATAAAGGGCCCGAAGTAACGAATATCTTTTGACTTGGGATCCAGAATAAATGCTATTGATAGACTTGGGTCCTGCTGTTGGCCTTTTGTGACAAGTGTGTGTAGTCCTATAGCCAAAGAGGACTTGAAGCTTCCCTCACAGACCAAGGTCCTCAAACCCCCAAAAGGGCAGCTTTTTTTTTTTCTCCGCAGGAGCCGTAACCTCCATAGCAGTACATGAATCGAAAGCTGCTTCCCCAATGCTTGTCACCGAATCCGGTATGTCAATGTGTTTCAGAGCATGGCAACCGAAGAACAGGCGATTCTCGATGGTGGTCAGAGAGCTGGGGATTTTGATGGACTCCAAGGCACTGCATCCTTCAAAGGCTGCCTGCCCAATGCTCCTGACCATTTCTAGTAATAGTGCGAATAACAGATATAGTAATACCAGTCACAGTATAAAAGGAATAGTATAATAATAATAGTAAAGCCCTAAACCCTAAACTCTAATTGTCCTCACCGAATCTGGGATCTGGACATCTTTTAGGGCAGTGCAGTGCTGGAAGGCTGATTTGCCAATGCTGGTCACGGAGTCGGGGATGTGGATAGTCTCCAAAGCCTGGGTTGCTGTTAAGGAACCCTATCAAGTACTATGTGTATATGTATATACACACGTATATATGTATATACCCATTAAGGTGACTTCATCTACTCCCTATATAGCCCCTATGTAACCCCAGTTTCCATTTCATTTTCCATGTTCGTTTAAATTTGATTCTCCATTATTGGGGGTACCCTAGACCCCAAACCCTATATATGGTAACTTGACTTAAGTTCCTTAACAGCAAGCTAGAAGCACGACAACGGATGAAGGCCCCTTCCGCAATCTCGCGCACGGCACGGGGGACCTCCACATGCCTTAGCCCACAGTCCCAGACCCCCTAAAGGATCCAAAAAATAATCCCCCAAAAAAGACCTCCATTGCTGCATTCGGAACCTAGGGATTATTAAGGGGTTCCATTTCGGATCCTTTAGGGGTCTTGGTTACCCTAGGAAGAAAAGATCCTTTTTTTCCATAAATATACAAGGACTCCATACACCAAAAACTATAGAGGATCCCTCAACCCTACATATCCCTATAATTCTCTAGAATCTCCCTATATAACCCCTAGATCCCCTTTAGAGGATTCTTAGCATTGATCCAGACAGACCCGAAACCTTTAAACCCAAACCCTAAACTTTAAACCCTAAACCCTAAAACCCTAGAGCCTAAACCCTAAACCCTAACTCCGTAAACCCTAAACCCTAAAACCCTAGAGCCTAAACCCTAACTCCGTAAACCCTAAACCCTAAACCCTAAAACCCTAAAACCCTAGAGCCTAAACCCTAAACCCTAACTCCGTAAACCCTAAACCCTACAACCCTAAACCCTAACATTTTTTCGAGAGGCTTGAGCACAGCGCAGCCCATGAAGGTTAGCTTCTGAATGCAGGTCACACCGGTGGGAATCTTCACCTGGAACAGGTTTAGGGTTTCTTGGGGTATAATTTAGGGGTTAGGGTTTAGGGTTCAGGTATCTTACATCCAGGGGCCCTTCCGGGACAGATTAGGGATTTTTGGTGTATTTTTTGCAATAGGGTTATCCAGCTAGAAGACCTTCCGGTCAGGTCATGACAAGCCCCCACCGAATCCGCATGTGCCTCTGTACCGCCTCGCTCCCTGTGCCCCAAAACAGCACCACTGTACCAAGCAAGCACAGAAAAAGCCACAGATGAGGGTTCATTGATTCTGACATTTGGGGCCCTTTAAACAACTTGATTCTTAGATTTAGGGGCCCTTTAGATAACTTCTTTGATTTAGGGGCGATTTCAACACGTTGATTCTTGTATATTTGGGGGCCGTTTAAACAACTTCATTCTTAGATTAAGGGGCCATTTAAACGACTTGATTCTGACACTTAAGGGCCCTTGAAACGACTTGATCCTTATTTGTCCTTGTGGGTTTCACAACATTCTAGAAGGATGAAGGTCCGCAACAGCTTGAAAAATCCCACGAAAACCAGTCAGAGTCACCACCTCCATGAGAATGCAGCTTGCGAAAGCTGATTCACCAATGGCGGTCACCGTTTCCGGGATGTCAACGTGCTTCAGAGCATGGCAACAAAAGAATAAGCGATCGGCGATGGTGGTTATAGAGTTGGGGATCTTGAAGGTCTCCAAACCCTTGCATACCGCAAAAGCTGCCCCCCCAATGCTTGTCACCGATCTAGGGATTTGCAAATCCCTGAGAGAATAGCAGTCAGAGAACGCGCTCACCCCAATGCTGACAACAGAATCCGGAATTTTGACATGTTTCAAAGCACCGCAGCACAAGAATGTACAATTCTTGATGGCGGTCACGGAGCTGGGGATCTGAATAGTTTCCAAAGCGCTGCATCCTTCAAAAGCATCTTGCCCAATGGTCTTCACCGAATCTGGGATCTCGACATCTTTTAAGGCCCTGCAGCCCTTGAAGGCAGATTGTCCAATGCTGGTCACGGAGTTGGGGATATGGATCCTCTCCAAAGCCCTGCAGTTGAAGAACGTGGAAACTTCAATGGCAGCCACGGAGCTGGGGATTTGCAAGCATTTCAGAGAATTGCAGTGATAGAATGCGCGATTCCCTATCCTTGTCACAGAGTTTGGGATCTCTACTTCCTGCAGGGATCTACAGTTTGAAAAGGCTTCAGCCTGGACATGCATTGTACCCTCAGGGATTTCCACGAAAACCAGCTTGTCAAACCTGCCCCCTGCGGCGGCTGCCCTGTCTGCGGCTTGGACCACCTGAGCTATAGTCTAAACTCCTTATGTAGGGGGTTATATAGGGGATCATATAGGGGGGCTATTGTAGGGGTTATTAAGGGGATACTAGGAGTTTAGACCTAAACCCTAAACCCTAAACCCTATAGCTCACCTGCTTGTAGCGGACCATGGTCATGACCTGAGGCTCCCATACCTTGCTGTCAGGTTCCAGGACTTCTGCCTTCTCAGTCGCCAAGCACGAGTGGTAACCGGGTTGCATTGTGAAGCCTGCGTGATCCATGATCTGGGAAATGGTACCCTACTTGGAGGTCTAGGGTTTAGGGTTTAGGGTTTAGGGATTAGGGTTTAGGGTTTAGGGCTTGGAGGTCCATGGCACTTATAACCTACTTAGTAACTGTAGTCATAACACAATTATATCTAGGGTAACTGTAGTTATGGGACTTATATTTAGGTTATAACTACAGTTACTAAGTAGGTTATAATTGCCATGGACCTCCAAGTGCGTGGTCCATGATCTGGGAAATGGTTGTGCCAGGTTCAATCTGGATCTCCGTGTGCGATCCATTGATATCCTGTATGCTCACCTTGACTAGACCACTCGCCATGGCAACAAGGGAAGACTGCACACCCCTCTGGTCAGGGTTAAATAGCAGGCTTAGAGGATGTAGAGGGTTGAGGGCTTAGGTCTTAGCCTCCGGTCATCGTGTCAATAATGAAGACCCACATGGAAAACAAAGGAATTCAATGACACCTACTATATCACTCGCTCCTGTATATCCCGCAAAAACATGATACTTTTCTTATGTTTTCCATTAAAACCCTAAACCCTTGCTAACCAGGAGTAGCAGCCAGGCCCCTTCAGAATGCCCGGCAATCTAGTGTAATTTCGTGGCAGGTTAGGGTACCCGGGGGGTTTAGCACAAGGGAGAGTGGTAGGGGAACTCGTGCGATTCCGTGTACGTACATTACCGAAGCTGAAACGGCAAAAACGCATCGAGAAGCGAGAAATCTCCAGGAAGCAGAGCCCAAAGGGTCCATGTAGGGAAAAACTGCAAACTGAAGGCCACTTGAAGGTGATTTGGGCCTTGAGTATGTACTATATGGCTACATGGGCTACAGTGGGGAAGAAACCTATAGGCATGACTAAAAGACAGCATGACAGTCTGCAAAATCCTCACCAAACCAAGATCCCCGCATTTATGAAGCAAGCGCAGGACAACTGGGTTGCTGTTAAGGAACTTAAATGAAGTTACTATATTGGGGAAACCCTATTATTTACTATATATATATATACCCATTTATGGTAACTTAATTTAAGTACTTAACAGCAACCCAGACAAAGAAAGCAAATATCCCAATCCCAACTTTGGCCCTACAGTGGGCCTGCGGTTTGGGGCTCCTCTGAACCCTACACCCCACACCCTAAACCTACTCCAAATGCCAAATGCCAAACCCCCCCTGCCAGTAATGAAACCGCTCGGGTGCAGTTACTGCAGGGGTTAGGATTTAGGGTTTCGGGTTTAGGGTAGATATCGACCCACTAGCTGGTTGCGACTTTTTACATACATATTACATATATGCATATATACATACATATATATATTTATGTACACAGCCCTATTTGCGTGTATTCTAACAGAGGTCTTGGCCTGTTACAGCTAGTTTTGCAGGATTATGGATTTTCTGAGAGGGCGTTTATGATTTGGGTTTCTCACCAGGAGTCATTTGCAACCTTTTGTGGGTTAGCCCGTGCAAATGGCGTAGAACATATGCCCAAAATGCAGAACTTACGAAGCCACAGGTCTTTCTGCAAAAAGTCACCCTCCGTAGCGTCGGGGGGCAAAACGGTGAGACGGATTCCCTAATTTCAAACACCCCCTCCACTCCCCTTTCGCAATCAATGTATCCCGGCTAAGCTTAGGGTTTAGGGTTTAGATATGTTTCGTGGGCGATGTCAAAGTGGGTAGGAATGATGGCCCAAACACCTATAAAATCAGCCAATCCGGCTGCTACTCTGCATGCTTGTGGGTGCAGGTGACCCCACACCCTACTCCCTAAAACCCAACCCTAAAACCGTAAAACCCTAAAACCCTAAAACCCTCAACCCTAAAACCCCAAAGCCCTAACACCCTAAAACCTTAAATGCTATAACCCTAACACCCTTAACACTCAACCCTGACACCCTTAGTCCTATGACCCCAACTCCAAACCCTTAATCTTCTAACCCTCAACCCTAAAACCTAACCCCCTTCACCCCTATCTGCCACTATTCCTATGTAACCCATATAAACCCATATTAACCCTGAACCCCTAACCCTAACCCCTAAGCCCTAAACCCCAAGAATCTGCCATGATGCGGCTGGCCCACCGCAGGGCATCTAAGGGCTGCTCGCTGCATCGAGTGCGAAGCTGAGATCACATGTGGCTTTAAAGGGTTAGGGGTTTAGGGTTTAGGGTTTTAAAGGGTTAGGTTTTATAGGGATAATGGAAAAGAAAATGGAAACTATTATATTATTAGGTTATGTAGGGTTAGGGTTTAGGGTTGGGGTTTTGGGTTCAGGTTTAGGGTTTAGGGTTCAGGGTTCTGGTTTGAGTTTTAAGGGTGTAGCGGGCTACATAAAGCTATGTACGGGATGTATAGGGCGAAGGGATAGTAACCCAATCGAAGAACGACAATTTCAAAAAAAACATGTGGATCCCAATGTAGACTCAAATATATACATACTGGATCATGTCTTGATGAAGGCCCTACACCCTAAACCCTGATGAACCCTAAACCCTAAACCTGAACCCTAAACCCTATATAACCCAATAATATAGTAGTTTCCATTCTCTTTTCCATTATCCCTATAAAGCCTAACTCTTTAAAACCCTATACCCTACCCAAATATAGGAGGTCATCTCTTAATGAGGACTCCCTCTTAGATGGCTCCCCTAATTTATTGGTTCAGGGCTTAGGGTTTAGGGTTTAGGGTTAGGTTTTATAGGGACAATGGAAAATAAAACGGAAACTACCATATGATTGGGTTATATAGGGTTTGGGGTTTAGGGTTCAGGGTTCTGAAGCCCCCCCCCATGTGGGGGTTCTGCAGCTTTCAGCGTAGGAGGTCAGAAGGCAAGGGCTGCTGAGGGGTGAAAGGATCAGGGTTCAGGGTTTAATTGTGCCGTTTTTGTTTGTGCTTTAAAGGGTTTGACTGACAAGTCTCGTATTGTCGGGCCTTTTAAGGACTTGGGCGAGAGGGGTGTAGGGAACAGGGATTCGGGTTTGAGTGGCTGGAGGCTAAGCGGTTTGAGGGCCTGAGTTTCAGGCAGTTTAGGGCAAACGTTGCATGGGAATCTCCTGCATTGGTAATATCGAGGTAATATTGGGCTATATGGGGAGAATGGAAACAGAATGGAAGCTACTATAGCAATATAGGGTATATATTGGGGGCCTACAAAAAAGTACCCGAAACCCCAAACGGTGGGCTTGTGAAACTTCGTCTACAAACCCTCCCCTCGCTCACATCCCTTATGGTCCAAGAACCGTCCCAAAATTAATGTGCACAACCATGTTTGGAGTTTCGAGCTCTGGAACAACCACATGTAGTGGCTACGTGGACCTCAAAACTTGCTTGGGGCTGTTCGTACATAGCCAAACCCACGGCCCAAGCCCTAAAGCTCCATACGTTAAACCCTTAACCCCAAACCCCAACCCCTTAAACCCTAAACAAGGCCCAAACCCTGGAAACCCTAAGCCCCTGAACCGCCTAAGTCTGAAACAGTTAAAATGCCAAGCGACCTTCTGGATGACGTCTGCCAGGGTCTTCCGCACCGCCGGAGGGGTGGCGGAGGAGGACAGCCTGTTATTGGGCACATGTTAGCGTTTAGGGTTTAGGGATTTGGGGGCTTAGGGTTTACGGTTTAGGGTTTAGAGAACTTTGATTTAGAGGTTTATCTGTTAGGGTTTAGGGCTCAATGGTGGGGTTGAACCATTAACTTTGGACTCGAAACCCTGGGATCAAGGTTGAGAGCCTTGGGTTTAGGGTTTAGGGTTTAGGGTTTTCAAAGCTTACTTGAGCTACTGTCTAAACTCCTAGTATCCCCATTAATATCCCCTATAGTAATCCTCTATATAACCCCCCTTTTTTAGACTATAATACACTTGAGAGTTGGGGGGACTCAGGAAGTGCCTGAATAAAGGGAAAGATGAACTTATTGTATGGCCTATACTCAGGGTGAAAAGTATATTTGCCAAGTTCCCCCACAGACCCTCCAGGCAAGTTTGGGGCTCCTTTGACGAAGCCACTAGTTTCTGTAGCACCCAGTTCGGGGTTCCATGTGAGTTCTGGCGCAAGACCCTAAGACTCAAAGACCCTGGATGCGGATTATGTAGAGTAATTATGTAGAGTTTAGGGTTAAGGGAGGATTCTATAAGTAGATCTACAGCCCCCTATACCGCAAACCCTAACGAACTAGGCTAAAAGGTATGTATGGTTTCTGAATTCGGCAGGCAGCAGTCTCAGAGCGTCTGCAAGCAGTTGCGCTTCCTGGGAACTTCCAAATCAATGCTTGAGCTTAGAATTCTGGATTCTGGGCTTCAGGTGTAGGACTGTTTAAGGGTTTAGGTTGGGTACTGCCCCCACTCAGCAACGGTTGGAAAATAACTATAATATGATTATAGATCGCCCTTAATAGGACCCCCAATATAAACTGTTACTGGGTGGGGGCAGTACCCAAGGTTTAGGGTTCAAGTTTCAGACTTTAGGGTTTGAGGGTTTCTTGGAGAATGATGTCAGCCTAAACCTCGGTTGCCGCTGTTTGAGCGGGTGTGGGGTTTGGGGTTCAGGACTTATTCGTCCCCCTTAAGTAGATAGAACCCATATTGTATCCCTAAACCCTAAACCCTAAATAGCAGTCTCCATTTTCTTTTCCAGTATCCCAATATAACCCCCATGTAAAATCTACTTAAGTGGGACCTAGTAGGGTTCAGGGTGTGGTCACGGGATAAAAGCCAAGCATAGCTGCTTGGAGGTCCATGGTACTTATAACCTACTTAGTAACTGTAGTTATAACCCAATTATATCTAAGGTAACTGTAGCTATGAGACTTATAATTACGTTATAGCTACAGTTACTAAGCAGGTTATAGATACAACGGACCTCCAAGCACCAGCAAGTCTTGCAGGTTAGGCTTGAGGTTTCAAGGTTTGCTTGGGTTTGGGGCGAGGGCTTAGGGTTTTGGGCTTAAGGAAGCCCTTATCAAATCTTCGCCACGTGTATGATGAC